GACTCCACATCAGACCTCCTGAATGAGAATATTGGAGGCAGAGCCCTGGAATCAGCATCTGAAACAAGTGCCCCAGGCGATTTTCATGCACACTGAACTCTAAGAATCAGGGGAGTTCTATCTAGTAACCAGACCCTTTTGAGCCTATTGTGAAAACACAGATCCGGAAGTATTCCCTCCAGGAAGGATCCTCAGAGCCCACTAGAGGGGAAACCAGCTGCCCCTGTGCCTTTCAGAGTGGAAAGCAATTGAAAAAGAGAAAGACGGATCTCGAGAATTCTTGTGTTGATAATCGCAACGTTATTATTAGCGCTGCTAAATCTTGGCAGTGTTTTACCTCCATCTATACTTGGGTTTTTATACCCTAGTGCTGCTGCTTACTGGGCTCAAACCCAACTGGGATCTAGACTTATACCACCTGGGTTTGAACTCTGGCTCTGCTGCCTGCTAGCTGGATGACCCTGTGCTTGTGACGTAACCTCTCTGAGCCTCCATTCAGTAGAGGTAATAAAGCATCTACTTCTTAGGAATGTTGTAAGGATCAAATGAGATAAAGCATGGAGGGGCCAAGCAGAGACCCAGAGGCTCAATATGAGTTACTTATTGTTTCATTTTGAGAGACCTGGGACTTTCGCACAGAAGGTTAACTTTGAGTCAGGATCCCTTTTAAAGTTGGAAGGGTCCTCAGAACCCGCTTGGTTCAAGGTCATCATGTCACAGATGGGGCCCTGAGGCCCAGAAGGGGAAGGACTTTTTTAGTGTCATAGTTGATAGAAGAGGAGCCAGAATCTGATTTTCTTGTGTCCCAGGCACTGTATTTGCTATTAAATCACAACTGCCTAGAAGCAAGACCAAATTATGTGAAGACCAGACATAGGGTCATTGTGTGTGTGATGCCCTCTAATGCTTTGACAATTGGTTGATGCAGCCATGATCTAATGAGCAGAGCATTCTATTGACTCAGCACTCCCCATGGCCTTGCCATCCCGGCTGACAGAGGGCCTCGTCCAGTGAGGCCGCTGAGATGGCTCCCTGGCTGGTGATTCGCAAAGTTAGGGATGATTTGGGGGCTTTTAAGGCCGGTGCCATGGAAGGAGGGCAAATCTCTGCATCCACTGAAGGCTTCTGTGGTCACCTTTGACATAATCAAGACCCTGAAGACGCTGCACTGGGCCTGGAAGCTGGTCTAGTGATCCAGTTACCTGCCCTGCTCCTGCCCTGAGACCCTTGACCAGAGTGGACTCTCTTCAGTCCTGAAGTGGGTGGGGTGGGATGCAGGGGCTTCCGACACAGTCAGACTCCAGCAGAGAGAGGCAGGATGAGCCCTGGAGAGCTGGGCTCCTGGAGCATTGGAGTGGCCTCAGAGCAGCCTGGCTTGGGGGTGCCCCATCTGCTGGTGACAGCTGGAACTGCTAGAATTGGATCATTGAAAGGCGGAGTCTGTTCCTCTCCTGTCTTCCCACTGCAGGAAAGAAGTCTGGTCCAGGAGCTCACCTTGGAGCATTTAGAGGCCTTTAAAGATTTGGGGGATGGGGAGGAGCCTTAGCTAAGGACCGGTCTGACTCCTTGGGCAAATAACCTCACCTCTCTGAGCCTCACTGGCTAGTCAGTCCATCTAAAGGGAACTAAGATTGCTATAGCGTTGGCTTATTGAGAAAGTTGAGCAAAATAATGGATATAAACATACTTTATAAACTGGACAGTGTGGACAGTCAACGGGCATTGCTGACAATTAGAATTCCTGATCAAACATGGACTTTGCAGGGAGATCTGCAGGGTGTTTCATCCATAGTTCCTGGTAGCTTCCTCATGTATTTTTGGGCCTCATCTAGGCCCAGGGCAAAACAGTAGGAGCTTAAACCAAAATAGGGACCCCAAACTATAAAGAAGAGTTCCGATTTGCCAAGCCTAGGTTTTCATCTCAAAGATAACGTTCTAAAAGGGGCTGAGACCCAGACTACAGGCTTGAACCATCATCTAAAGCAAAGACACACAGAGAAGACTTGGAACCGTGTGCAAGTGATATGGCTCCAGAACCTCTTGAATGAGAATGAGCAGGCGATGAGGGAAGGCCCAAAGCCACGGTGCTGGCTGGCAGCTGACCGTGGGCCTCCCTCCCTGAATGGCTTGGAGGGGCAGTTCCTTTCTGTCCCGCCACACAGCGGTGTGGCTCCTTCCTGACCTAATCTATGAAACCTAAAGATGTGGTATTTACAAAGCGGGGCTATTTATGGACTCTGTGTGTATGTCTCTCCTGCTTTCTCTCTCCCTCTCTGTCTCTCCTTCCCTTCCTCCCTCTTTCCCTTTCCTCTGGCCCTGGGCCTCCCCTGCAGTCCCAGAGGACCCAGGACACCTCTCAGCAGGACTTGGCACCTGAGCCTGGGACGGCCACAGGCTTGGAAGTGTTCACTCAGAAAAGCCTCGCAGCATCTCCTGAGGTTACTGTCATCACCTCCCCACCCAACCAGAACCCTAATGGTCTTAAGAAAACCCTTTCTCTGGGGTGAATGGGGTGGAGCAGACTTTGCCATGCACACGGAACAGTGGGCAGCCCACATTGTCTCCCGGCTGTGACAACTGGGCATCCCCTTTCCAGGAATCCATAAAGGGCAGGCCCCTCCCTCATCCATTGTTGCCCAGGAATCAGGACTGAAACCATTCAGGGAAGTCACTTCTGGCTTCAAAGGGAGGCAGAAATGAGCTCCCTGAGGCCCTGCAGAGGCAGGTGACTCTAGAGCATCCGTTTTCAACCTGTGGGTCGCGACCCCTTTGGGGGTCGAACGACCCTTTCACAGGGGTCGCCTAAGGCCATCGGAAAACACATATATAATTACATATTGTTTTTGTGATTAATCACTATGCTTTAATTATGTTCAATTTGTAACAATGAAATTGGGGGTCACCACAACATGAGGATCTGTATTAAAGGGTCGCGGCATTAGGAAGGTTGAGAACCACTGCTCTAGAGGCAGGCTCTGCCCTTTAAGCTTGGGATCAGGGGTCATGGCACCTAAATGTCTTCTGCCCTAAGGTCTTGTTACTGTTTAGAAGCCCAAGAGAGGTCTAGCTGTGGTTGGTTAGCGGATGGCATCCCATTCATCCCCCACCTCTTTCTTTTCTAAACTCCCCTTGGATCAGTCAGGATCTCCAGACAGACAAAGTGGGCATCTGGGTCCAAGGAGTAACCTTGGGGTTATAGAGATGTTGGTAAGGCAGGTGTTCTAAATGAGGAGGGCATTGCTTCTGGGCCCAGGAGAGCAGCAGGTTGAGGGCTCTTGGAACTTGCTGTGCCCCTTCATGGATGCCAGGTTGAATCCAGGCCCAGCACCTCATGGACGGTCAGGATTGGAAGGTACTAACTGACCATCTCCTTGATATATGATCCTCTCTTGTTGGCACAGTGTGTCTTAGGGCATGTACCTTTCTTAATTCCCCGGGGAAAAATTTTGTATCTGCTGCAAACATGCTGGAACTGTAAAAGAAACATGAGTCAGCTACATAAGTGGTAAAACATAAATCACAGTTATTTTTCCGCAGTTGTAAAAATAAAAACAAAACTATCAGCACTCTCTTGAGAGAAGTTGGATAGGAGTCAACAGCATCTCAAGGTTAGGGAAGCAGTGATGCCCTGGAGCACAGGGATGCTCCCAGGGCTAAGGACAGGTGCCCACCCTTGAGGGGGCCAGCATGCGTCCTTTCTCAGGGTTCCTAAAATTCTCGATCCAGTCCCTTCCACAGAGGGGGCTCTGCCTGTTCTTAGCGGCAGCTCGTTTTGTCTTCAGTCACCCATTGTGAAGTTTTCATATTGAGTTGTCTGTCCTTCTGAATCACCGGCCCGTGGGTCGCTCTGTCCCCAAGCGCCTTTATGCCTGCTCTGCATCCTCCAGGATGGCCCTTCAGAGTTGAGCACCCGCTAACCTTCTTTCTTCAACAGTTTCTCCCAGGGCATGGCTTCTAGAGAGCTCCTCATCCTGGACCCCCTCCTCTGTGCCCAGAATGTGAGCCAGAGCTCCAGCCTCGAGTCCGCGGAACTGCTGGGCTGGAGACTTGTTCCTTGTCCCTGGGAACAGAATCGGCTCCACTCCCTCTTTCAGCTTCTGTTCCAAGGCTGTCTTACCTCAGTGCCTCCCTCTGACAGCAGGGGGCACTCTGAGCAGGCACTGAGCATCTTGGCTCAGTGGGAAGAAGGGCTGAGGGCTCTCCTGACATCTTCCCCATCCTAAAATCTGGTCAAAACGACTTCCAGGCCAGTCCCCAGGGCCAGCTGTGGCTCTGCCAGTGTTTTGGTGCCAGTGAAGCCTTGCTCTTTCCGTTCAGTCTTCCTTTCCTCTTTAGGTTCCTACACATCCCCTTTCACTTGTTAGCAGCAGAGCCCCTTCTTCCCTCAGTGCTCACCCTGTCATCTGTGCCAGTCACCTTCCTCTGGGAGCCTCGGTTTCCCCTTCTGAAATAGGGTGACAGCACCTGCTTCACAAGTTACCAAATGGATCAAATTTAATAATTTAGACCAATGATTTCAAGAATCTTTAAAATATGCAGTACCTGACTATTTAGTCAGGGCCACTGGCCACTTTTCCCTTAGATTGTCAAATCAAAAGCCCGGCTGGTGTTGCTCAGTGGTTGAGCATCGACCTATGAACCAGGAGGTCTTGGTTTGATTCCCAGTCAGGGCACATGCCCGCATTTTGGGCTCGATCCCTTGTGTGGGGTGAGCAGGAGGCAGCCAATCAGTGATTCTCTCACATCATTGATGTTTCTATCTCTCTCTCTCTCTCTCCCTTCCTCTCTGAAATCAATAAGAATATATTTTTTTTAAATGACAACAGCCAACACAACAATAGCCATCTGGTGTGAATGAATCAAAATTATACCTATTTTTTTGTCAGATCAGCAAAAAAAATTTTTTTGTGTGCTTCAGAATCTAATAATTAGTTTTTGTGTGCCATGAGATGAAAAAGTTTGAAAATCGCTGACTTAGTCAAAAGACTGGTATTGCCTGGCACAAAGTAATTAAATATAAGTACATTTCCCTTTTTTCCCCGTATACAATCTTTCTGTTCTGTGCCAGCTCCCATCCCACTCAGCCTAGAAACTGTTTTCTAGTTAGACTTGGGGCAAGAATATTCCAGATGGGACTTCGTGGACTGCCTTTGGCTATCCTTGCCAGGCTGATGATACCAGTACACGCTGAGACGGGAGCAACTAAAGGCACTTGCTTCCCAAGTCGAGGAGAAGAGAGGCCTGGCGTCTGTAGGCTCTCAGAGCACTTCTCTCTGGGAAAGTCGGAGCGCTGTGGTCCTGAAAGCTTAACAATCTGAAGTAAAATCTCAGAATCTACCCCCCACTTTATCTGGGCCTTCCCCCTTCCTTTTATCTCTCTTTTCTGTTGGCGAGAATCTCTTTATGTGGTTTGCTTCCCTGATAGTCATGGAGATTTTGCTGAAATGGAGTGGGGGAATGGAGGTAAGAGGGTTACAGTGTTCCCTTGATCCTGCAGAATCCTTTAGGTCTGATGGGATCTTGCCTCACCAAGTCATAAACCTGAATCGGAGCTCAAGGTCAGATAAACTTCCCCAGCTTGTTGTCGGGAGCAGTTTGGGGCACATCTTACCGTGGATACATCTCACAGAACTTGGACTCAGAGAAGGTTCTAGGCCTGCCTTTGCACGAGCTCACTCTCTGACGTTGGGCATGGTGCTCACCTTCCCCAGGCCTCAGTTTCCACATCTCTACCATGAGGGGCTGACTCAGAGCCGTGATTTCAAAGGAGGAAAGTACCTCAGGGCACTAGGCCCCCAACTTCAACAGGGCAGCCCCATGTGTGTGCTACATAGACTTCCACTGAGATTTTGTGTGAAGAAAGTTTCCTGTGGCTGTAAGATTAAAACCCAACTGCCTTCTTGCTTTTTGAATGATTCTAGAAGTCCACGGTTCCCTCCTAAGCGTTGTTCAAAAGGGAGGTGGGGGCTGTTCTGTCAGTGGTTTGACAGTGCTGCCCTCTTGTTGGTGCTTTCGACCCAAGATATGCCTGGATCTTTAGATTGTTTCCTTCGGTGATGTGTTCTGACTGGCACTAAGCAGGACAGCTGGCCAGTTAGTGTTTTTCATTCTCATCTCTTTCCTTCTCAGAAGCTCTTGCAGGAAGGTCAGCTTATGGGACTTATCTCAATACTTCCCATCAACTTGACACTAGATCACAGTGGGACCCACATGCCATACGTTGTGAGATAAGTTAGCCAGGGTCTCAGTCATCAGAACTCAGACACTCTTTTCCTGACTCTGCTGTCAACGAACTGTGGCCTTGGCTAAGTCACCGGCCTTCTCTAGGCCTGAGTTTACACATTTGCACAATGAGGAGATTGGACTGAAGGTGTCTTAGAAGTTCTTTTGGCTCCAACAGTCAATGATTTCATGTAACATCAGCTACTTTCCCCTCCGACAGTGGCAGTTATATTATGAACACGGAAGAGGGAGCGTCCTGGCCCATCCATGGATCTCCATTTTCCCACGGTTAACATGAGGAGACCCCATCCCATTTTACCAAGCTGGGGTGGCGGTGGAGGGGAGTTGGTAAATGATTTATTGAGTGCTTTGATGGGAAGAGGAGCTTTGATGAGGCTGACTAGTGTCATGCCTTCCTCTCCCCAGCCAGTTCTGGGGATAGACATGTTGACCTTTGGGTGGTAGGATGGTCCCTTCTTGTAAAGGGAAAAGGTGACCTGTTCTTCAGGTGCCTGCTATTTCATGTTAACTTTTCTTGCTCCAATTGAAACACAGGGTTCAGAGCATTGGGTATTTGTAGAAAGGAAGTACACTAGGCCAGAAGAACTCAGTCTTCTAAAAGTGGCCGCCACGCAGCAGGAAGAAAGTGAGGCAGGCCTTGCAGATATCCTTGCCGATGGCAGACTGTCCAAGGTGGATATCCTGGTGGACAAGTTCAAAGTTGAAGTGGCCACAGAGGAAATGGTGGGAGCCAGAGGAGCAAACACCCAGCAAAAAGGAAGAATGATTGCAAGCCCTGAAGACTTCGAGTCACTGTGGGAGGAGGGCCCCCGGGTCGGGAATGGCCCAGGAGGGGATCCCCTGGCTGCAGGCTGCACTCTGGCAGAAAAGCTTCCTGAGGGCTCCCAGCTCAGGATGGGCACCGGGGAGGCCACCATCAGGAAGCGCCGGGTCTCGAGTCAGTGGGAGAGCCACGTGGAGCTAAGAAAGGAGCTGGAGGAGATCCAGACTTGTGGAAGGCCCACTGCCCTGGGGGCCGGGCCAACAGAGGTGGATGTCTCATTTTCAACCTCTGACAAGGGAGGACTTCAGTCGTTTCTGCTGGACCCAGCCCACGAGGAAGACAGAGCTGACTCGAGTGATGAAACCGATACTTCCTGTGCAGAGAGGAGCTTCTATTTCAACTATGGAGAGAAAGATTTTGAAGACCAAATCCTCCCTCCACTGTTGGAGGAGAGAGGAGAGTGCCGGAAAGCCCCTCCTGGAGATGAGACCAGGCGGGAGCTCCCGGGAGAGCTTGCAGAGCGCTCTGAGCTGAGGGCCTCTGCCCAGTGGGGCTCTCCGACAGCTTCCAGAAGGAGCAAGGATGAAGATGGTGAAGCTCACATAGCTTCCTTGGAGAAAGGGGTGGGGTCTCCCAGGGACCACGGAGGACCCAATGACCTGGAGGCCTTTGACCAGCAGCTTGGTAATGGATCTTTTCCAGGGCAGAGATTTGCTAAGGCTTGGGAAGAAGCAGGGTGGAGGGTGGAAGGAGAGTTTACCCACCCAGCCCCTGCCATTACTGCAGAGGAAGAGGCCCCCGGGAGTCTAGATTTGATGGGAAAGGCTGAGAAAAGTCCCCCAGCAGCATGGAGGAACCACTCGCCTCACAGAGGAGCGGGTGTGTGCCCAGACTTCCCGGCCTGCGCCCTTCCATGGACACTAGCCAAACCGGACAGAGACGACAACTTGCCCAAAGACAAGGGACCAGTTCACACCCAAACAGGACAACCCATGAGGGAGCACAGCAAGGTTCACACGGAGTTTCTTCAGATGGAGGTGATCAACCCCCTCCCAGCCTCCTGTGGTCCCTTTCAGGCTCCTCCTAAGGAAGCTTCTGTGAGCCCAGCCTCTCATGGGTCAGGGGAGCCTTTGCAGCTTGGGGATCCCTTTGGAGAACAGCCCCCTGTGTTTCTCAGAGGGAGCCCAGAACCCAAGGACCAAGTGGAGCCTGTTGTGACTCTGGACAGAGGTGAGCGCAAGGCACCTCCCGTTGCCAGCAGAAAGCGCAGAGTTGTTCTTGAAGAAGTTGAGGGAGTTGCAGCTCTAAGGTTGGGGTTCCCTTCAGGGAAGCCAAAGATGACTCCTTTCCAAGCTGGGGGCCAAGAGGGCTCCCTGGAAGACATCAGCAAGACCTCAGTGGCCAACAAAATTTGGATCTTTGAGACCCATGGAGCTGAAAGTTGGCGAGCGAGTCAGGGCGAAACATGGGCCCTTCCAAGTGGGTTGTCTTCAGAGGCCTCCCTAGGTCAGGCAGAGCAGCAGCAGAATAAGCTTTCAGACCTGGGCTTCGTCCAACTCCCACCCCCAGAGGACATCGCCGGCCCCAATGCCACGCATTCCTCAATGATGTCACCCACTACCAGCCACGAGGGCGTTTCTACTACATCCCACCAGGAACTCGAGCTCATGTCTCCCGATTCGGGCTGCGAAACTACGCTGGAGGAAGCTACTGGGGGAGCTGGCCACGTGAGCCCCCCCCTCCCACCACTGCCCCCAGCTGGGCAGTGACCGCATGCTCTGTAGCTTTTTAGAAGCATGTTTAGTGTCCCTCGTCATTAGTGCAATCCAAGGCTGCTTGCCCATCCCTGTGAGTTCTTTACCCTGAGTGTAGCCCAAGCAGAATGCAGGGTTCACCTGCTTGGCCCATGTGAGCTTAGCCACAAACGCGCAGCTTTTGGTGTGATCTGGTGCCCAAAGGGCCACATTGACGCAGTGGAGAAGGTGGCACCACCGCCAGCAAACTACACACTCGCTTTGCCTTGCTGCCCCCACCTGCTGGGTTCCTACCTGTTGGCTTGGCTTATCCAGTGACCTTCCTTCATCCTTTCCCTTCCCTGGTTCTCCTGCCTTGGGGAAGCTACAGTCCAGAAGTTTTCATCCTTCACTTGTGGTTCCCTCTCGGTCCCAGTGCCCAGAGCCTTTCTGCCTCCTTAAGACTAACTATCTTCTCTGATCCAGAACAAATCCGGAGATGCAGTCAGGGAAGAGAAGCGCCTCGCCAGTTTAACAGCAAAACCCCCTGGGAAAGGGGGGCGCCTGGGATTCGTCAGTCCCTCAGGCCCTCAGGTCTCTGCAGCCCCTTGGTGCCCCAATGCCCCGGTCGCCCTCGCCTGGCCAGGGTGCATCGCCGCCTTAGACTCCCACCTGCGCTGGCAGTGCTTCTCATGACAGCTCAACTCTGGCTTGTCTGAACGTGTCCTCACACCTCTCAACCTTCCAGAAACTGGCTAAATGGATGCTAGTTAAGCAAGCAAATCTCCAAATGCACTGAATCTCTAGAACCTGAAGCCATGTACTTTAAACATACTTGGTGGGTGTTAGATTGGTTTTAAGGAGTGTCATGAACCAGCCCCAAATGTATGAGTGGTGTTTAATCCCTGACAGGCCAGTTGAGAGGTATGTATGTCAGACAAGAGCTGCTGGTTCCCCTCCGGCACTTCCTTGGCCTGCTGTTGTCAATTACACTGATGGGACCAGAACCTCCACTCCATGGCCTGCCCATCGGCCCACTCATGGAGCTCAGGGTTGAACTGATGCAGCACCCAGCTCCCAGGAATTACCCCATATTGGTCCTCCCTCGAGACGATGCTAACCCCTCCCATGGGGACTCAGTGGAATTGACAAACCGTGCTGGCTTCCTCTTTGTTCCTGAAAGCTCTTGGCTCCAGCCTCTGCTTCCCCTGCCTGGGTTTCCTGATCTCTGGGTCTCCCTCCTTGGTTTCTGTCTCTTGAGTCCAGCCCACACGGATGGGCCCGGGACCTGGGCCCCCATCCCTGCCTTGTGCACAGTGCCGCTTCTGATCAGCTCCCAGATCCAAACGTTGGATGGAGCCTCCTGTCCGGGAACCAACTGGCAGGATGTTTGCTTTGTACTTGCTTTGCCATTATCAGGAGACCCCCGGAAAACAGCATCCCCACTCTTGGGAACTTTTCGGTTATTTTAAGCTTATTATGATGTCAAGGAACCTTTCCCGGGGTGTTTTTTGTTTCCCGACCTGCTCTTCCATTTGGGACTTCGACATGGCCCCGAGATTTCTTCTGTCATTTACCATCTTGATTTCTCTCTTTCTCTCTCTCCCTCTCGTCCCACACTCCCGTTCCTTTTATTTTATCTGGCCATAGAGAGCAGGGCTGAGGGAGGGCTCGGAGGAGAAAGTCAAACCACCACGTCCCAGGGCCCCAGAGAGTGACACAGGCGATGAGGACCAGGACCAGGAGAGGGACGCGGTGTTCCTGAAGGACAACCACCTGGCCATCGAGCGTAAGTGCTCCAGCATCACCGTCAGCTCCACGTCCAGCCTGGAGGCAGAGGTCGACTTCACCGTCATGGGTGACTACCACGGCAGCGCCTTCGAAGACTTCTCCCGCAGTCTGCCCGAGCTCGACCGAGACAAAAGCGACTCAGACACAGAGGGCCTGGTGTTCTCCCGGGATCTCAGCAAGAGGGGCCCCAGCCAGGACGACGAGTCCGGGGGCATCGAGGACAGCCCGGATCGAGGGGCCTGCTCCACCCCGGATATGCCCCAGTTTGAGGTACAGTGGAGCATCGTTGAGACTGGGCCCAGCAGGCACTGCATGTTCAGAGGGCCCTGGCCGTCTGTGAAAAGACCAAGTCGCCAGCCTGCAGTCCAGATCCCTCAGGCTGAAGCTGTGTCTCGTGTTGCATGACTGTCCCTCCACAGAACAGCATGGCTCTGTGCTCGCATGTTTGCCGTCTCGGTTTACCCCTAACATGCACACCTTGGCGTTTTAACCCTGTGAACCCATCACTTGCCTGAGGTCAAGCAGTGACCAGAAGTCGGGTCTTACTCGACTCCTCCTCCCCCTGCCTGTGCTGCATGGCACTGCAGAGAGCATGTACTGTGACGCCTCTCAGGGGCCCTGGCCTGGTCTGAAAGTCAGAGGGTTTGTCCTGACCCCGGCCGGGCTCCTTTCCCTGGGGCCTGGGCTTCCTGGGGTAGCTGTTGAAACTCCTGGAGAAGCGGAAACGTTGTCCCTGAGGGGGACACAGGGATACACTGTCTGGGCTTCCTTCAGAGGATCTCTGTTCATGTTATTTCTTTGCTCCCTCGTCTCTTCTAGCCCCAGCCTACCTCCCACCACTCTCCCCTTCCCCATCCTACAGACCCTGAGACGTGAGCTCATCCCTCAGGCTTTCACTTGTGCTGTCGCCTCTGGGTGGAAGGTTATTCCTTCCTTTCTCGGCCCTGCAAGTGTGTCATGTTCCAGGACAGAGTTCAGATGTCACTTCCCTAGCAGATGCTTTCCTGACCACCCTGGGAAGTAATGCTCTGGCCCAGTAATGCTCTGCTCCTGGTGGTAGCCCAAGTACGTCAGTGGCTGACCAGTCTGCTCTCCTACCAGGTGGCAGCTCCTGGAAGCCTGCACAGAACAGGCACTAGTAGCTGATGGACTGAAGGGCTCTCTCTCCGGGGTACAGCCGTCTCCTCACCCCTCACCCCTCTTTTGTTTCCTCACCCCTCACCCATCATCCCTCTCCCAAGCAGATGACCAGCTAGCTTCCGTTCATTCATTCAGTTCATATATGTGGGTACCTGCTGTGCAGATAGCCATGAACTAGCCCAATGGAGGACGCAGAAGAAACCGATCACTTAACTTAATGACTTCCAGAGTGTAGGTTGTAAGCCAGTGGCTCGGGCCAGACCTGGCTAGCAGATGTGTTTTCTTTTTTACATACATTTTTAAAAAGATATTTGTATTGATTTCAGAGAGAAAGGGAGAGGGAGAGGGAGATAGAAACATCAATGATGAGAGGGAATCACTGATTGGCTGCCCCTTGCACGCCCCCTACTGTGGATCGAGCCTGCAACCTGGGAAGGTGCCCTGATCAGGAATCAAATCGTGACCTCCCGGTTCATAGGTCGATGCTCAACTACTGAGCCATGCCAGCGGGCTGTTTTCTTTGATCTTGATTTAAAAATCAGGGCATTGGATATAAAATACAGGGATTTTTCTTATATCATTAAAAAATTACATACATTTTTTTAAAAAATCAGATGACCCAGTCACTCAGAGGCCATGGCCACAGTTGGCCAAACCTGAGTGGCACCCCATGTGCTTCAAAGTCCCCCCCAGGCCTCAACAAGCCCACTTCACTCGTTTACATCCCCTTCCTGGCCCCCAGGGGCCTCCAGGTGTGTGGCTTCTGCTCTAAAGAACAATTCAAATGAGGTGGTAGCATAACCATTGAAGTCGCTCAGGATTTAGTGGCATGGATGTAGGGAAAATACCTACCATGGGGTCTGGCACACAGCACATTCACTAAATAGTAGATGTTCTCTTAATGGTGCTCTAAGAAAACAGCATATACTAGTAGCCACCATGAGGTTCGGTGGTTGCAAGGTCACGGGCAGGCCTGTCCGGTGGCTGCTGGTGGTTCTGGCTCTCCTCCCGGGATGTTTGTCGGTAACATCACACCAGGCCTCTTTTGCCCTGACCTGTGTACCCTTCTGGAGACTTGGCCAGCTGTAGGGTGAGAGATAACCTGCTGACCCTACGCCTCAGCTGCCTGTGACAGAAGCCATGCCGGGGCTCGAGTTACGAAGTGTTCTTCCTCATCTCCGTGCAGCCCGTGAAAATGGAAACCATGACCGTCAGCAGCCTGGCCATCAGGAAGAAGATCGAGCCAGAGGCTGTGCTGCAGACCAGAGTCACCACTGTGGACACCCAGGTACCCTGTGCCTTTCAGTGTTCCCCGAGCCACAGGTATTAGGCGTTTGGGGTGGGATCAGCACCATGACAGAGCCCCTTGGCCAACCGTGGCCACCTCGGCTCTCCCAGAGCCCCCATTTTAGCGCTGATGCTCTTCGAGTCCTTTACTGTCCTTCCTGAGCTGTGGGAGTGGGCAGACTACACCACTTAGTGCTTCAACGTCCCCATCCATTACATGGGATGATCATGTCTCTTCTGTCCTCTTTGGGGCGTGGTAGGTCCAGTGGCCAGTGGATTAGGACTGTGGCTTTCAGATTGCTCTAAAGCAGTGATGGCGAACCTTTTGAGCTCTGTCAGCAGTTTGAAAAACCCTAACTTAACTCTGGTGCCGTGTCACATATAGAAATTTTTTGATATTTGCAACCATAGTAAAACAAAGATTTATATTTTTGATATTTATTTTATATATTTAAATGCCATTTAACAAAGAAAAATCAACCAAAAAAATGAGTTCGCATGTCACCTCTGACACGCGTGTCATAGGTTCGCCATCACAGCTCTAAGGAGTTGGAAAGGCTTCTCTTTTTTGTTGCTGTTAATCCTCACCCCAGGATACTTTTCCCCACTGATTTTTGGAGAGAGTGGGATGGAGGAAAGGGGGCGGGGAGAGTGAGAGATCTGGGGATCGAACCTGCAACCTCAGTACTTGCCCTTGACTTGAGAGTTGAACCCATGACCCTTTGGTCCATGGGCTGATGCTCCAACCACTGAGAAAACTGGCCAGGGCGAGAGGTTTCTTGATGTACCCCAGGGCCTGCTCGGAAAGAGAAGATGTGAGACCCCAAGCCAGCTTCAGTCACAATGGCTCATGTTGGGTCGTTTTTTTTATGCACGAGGGTTCCACATCAGATTGGCAAAATGAATAAACGGGGGGAAAAAGAGACCCCCAAATCATTGTCTTAGTGCAGTGGTTCTCAACCTTCTGGCCCTTTAAATACAGTTCCTCATGTTGTGACCCAACCATAAAATTATTTTCATTGCTACTTCATAACTGTAATGTTGCTACTGTTATGAATCGTAATGTAAATATCTGATATGCAGGATGGTCTTAGGCGACCCTTGTGAAAGGGTCGTTTGACCGCCAAAGGGGTCGTGACCCACAGGTTGAGAACCGCTGTCTTAGTGAGAGGAAACACACTGAGTACCCCAGAGAAGCTGTCATGCATTCATACAGGTGGTTCCGAAGTTCCTTCTGTGGTTTTTAAACTTTCAAAATTGAGACTGTGGTTCTGGTTCTTTCTGGCCAGAGAGTTGCTGTGCTGAGGGCTTTCTTGCTCCGGAGACCAGTCTTTGTCTTAAGGACTGAAGAACTACGTAAACCAACACAACATGGGGAATGCTGCCATTTCCAGAATTTTCCCTCCCGCTTTTATAACACGCATGAGGTTGAAGAGGCTGCTAGTGCAGTGGTCGAGACTCCTGGGTCTGGACTCTAGAGTTCTGATGAGCTGTGACCTCAGGCAACGTGTTCCTCCTCTGGCCTGTTTTGTAACGTGGGTTTTGTTTTCATACAGAGAAATAAAAAGAAAACAAAGTTGGCCCCCAATTCCACAACTCAGTAATCCTTACTGACATCAAAATGTTCACAGTTATGAAATTCAAACAGAACTAAATGAAATTTTTTCTGATTCCTCCCAGAAAAATATGAATGCATATACCAACGTGTATACTTACATCTCTAGATATTTAAAAATTCTACAGGAAAGAGATTGTTCTGTCTTACACCTTACCTTTTTAACGATCTTCTTGGAGATCGACCTTTGCTGGCATATGTGGACCACCTTAATCTTCTTAGTTCCACCCAGGAGGGGACCCTGGTTTTCCACACAGCCTCCCATCGATGGACCTGTGCTTGTTTTCCTCTTCCGCAGTTAACGATGAGTGCTGCAGTGCACTTCCTTGTCTATACTTCTTGGCAAAGTTTTCAAAGTTTATATCCCAATAGTGAATTCCTAGCAATGGGATCACCAGGTCAAAGAATACATGCATTAAAATTTGGATAGAATTGATCAAATTGTCTAGGGTTATTTTTCCTTTGTCAATCAAGTAAGATGACTGAAGTGAACCGGAGGGCCTATGAGGCCCGTCTGTAATTCAGTCTGTGTGTGAACACCCACGTGCCCCCAGTGCACGTTCACTCACACATCCTGTCACTTTGTCGCTGGGATTGCCGTGAGCCCAGGGGGAAGATGCTGCAGGTGAATCTGGCTTCTCTCTGTGTCCCTCTCTGATGACTCCTTCCTCTGACCACAGGTGGATGGGACTGCCCTAGGGGGAAAGGAATTCATAACCACTGCTCCCTCCATCACCACTGAGACCATATCAACCACCATGGTAAGTAGGACCCAGGAGACTTCTCTCTCTGACCAGCCTCCCTGCCCCAGAAATAGCCAGATAACAAGCTGACACCGCCAGCTGCTTCAGGACGTCCTCATCTGCCCTCCCTGCGTCAGGTCTGGGACATACAGTCAAATTGTCTGGCACCATAGTTGCCACCGGCCATCTGGTCAGACTCAGTTTTCCAAATAGAATACTGTGGGCGTCGGTTATCCGGGCCATCTCAGCCCAGCAGCAGTAAGTTAGGAGGATGGTGCTGTTTGCTTATTGGCAACGCCTGAGGGTTGTGCCTGAAAGTCCAACCAGAGGGCGCATCCTTCTAGCAGCTGCACATTTTCTTCCATCTCCGGCCACTTCCTTGCCTCGGTCAGTAGATGGCGTCCAGTGAACCTAAGTTGGAAGCTCAAGAGTTTAGATTATCTTCCGAGGGAGCCCTTGTTTCTGCTACCTTTTTGCTGTCTGGCCCATGAAGGGAGGTCCTTGGCCTCAGGTGTCCTCATCTGTAAAAATGGGAATAATCCCTATCCTAGCTGGTTCACAGATTCCTGAGAGGGGCCAGCAACATCAGATCCTTCAATGATGACACAGAACCAATAGCACTCGGCACACAGGTTTTGGTGCCAGGCGGTGGTCTCCTTGGTCTTCGCAAAACCTGTGAGGAGGACGCTCTTTCTTTTCTTTGCCCTTTACAGATGAGGAAACCAGAGTTCAGAGAGGTAACGTGACTTACCCTAGGTCACAGACCCAGTAAGTGGTCGAGCCAGGGCAAACCCAGGCAATTCTGACTCCAGACGCCCTGCTGTCCACCTCAACCCCCCTGCTCTGTTCCCTCATCCCGACCATTGTGAACACCGGCCGCATGGGGCTGAGGCTGGGTCGAGACCGGGGCTGGGGCAGGGGCAGGGACAGGGGCAGGTATCATTGCCTGGGCCAGATCTGTCTTGAGCTGTTGGAAGTTGTTTTCAAGTGTTTTCTATTGCCAACCCCCTGATATACACATAGGAAGAAAATTATATTAATTTAGGCTACCTGGAGGTAGGTTTTGAGTAAACAACGACTTTAAGATAAATAAACCCAAACCAGTTCCAGCTTGCACGCTTTTCCCCGGTCACTCAGTTCCTCCTCTCCCCTCAACCCTTTGCCGCGTGGCATCAGGACGCTGACAGGGCTAAATTTAAATTCATGCTACGGCAAGCAGGCAGTTGCATCATTCATTCACTCATCATCCATCCATCCATTCATTTGTTCCAAAAACATTTATTAGCCTATATTTCCTGCCCGGTATAGGGATACAGAGTTGAAGAAAAGATACTGCCTGCTAGACTTCATTCCTCCAAAGAATAATCATGGGCGCATTGAATGTGCTGTGCCCTGTGTTTAGGACCTAGGCACACAGTGGTGAACAAGGCCCAGCTCTCCCACTTCCTGGCTGGATGACCTTGAGCAAGTTACCTGAACCTCTTCACACCTCAGTTTCCACTTCTGTCAAGTGGGGTGAGGGCTGATAGCATGTCCCTCACAGGGTTGGTGTGAGGATGGACTAAGGTTAATCTGTGCAGAGCCCTCAGAAGAGTTTGGCAACGTAGTAAGTGGTCTGTCATGTGAGCAGCTGTTATTTTTCCTGCCCTCTTGGAACAGTGTCTCCTAGGGGGTACAGGAAGAAGAGGTATGGGTGACGCCATAGGAGCCGGGGAAGGCTTTATCTGAGTAGTGACATCTGAGCTATGCTTGAAGGATAAATTAAGGCACAATCACAGGAGAAGCCATTCCAGGTAGTGGGAACAGCAGGTGCAAAGGCAAGGATGTGAAGGAGCATAGCATTTGGTCAGTGAAGTGAGATGTCAAGTGTTGGGGTGGGGTGGGGGGGCGGCGCTGGGAGAGGAGAGGCTGAAAAGGAAGGCTGGGCCAGGGCTTGAAGGGCCTCAAACATCATAGATGAAGTTCAAACTTCATCCTGGACACGATGGAGAATTACTTGAATTTTTTAAGTGGGGACATGATGCCATCAAAATAAGTATTTGCATTCTAGAATGACCACTTTAACAACCTGTGTGCAACATGACTGGAGCCAACTTCCTTCCCTTGGGGCATGGGTCCTTTTTATTTTTCTTCCTTCCCTCTTTCACCCCCTCCCTCCTTCCTCCTTCCTCCCACTTCTTTCCTGTCCTCAGCAAATATTTACTGAACACCCACGCCGTGTGAAGTACTGCGCCAGGCGCTGAGAATCCAGCCCTGAAGGAGACAGTGTCCCTGAGTCTGTGTGCCATTAAGAGACCAAAAGAGAAGGCAGGGAACTAGTTCAGGGGCTGGTGCAGGGCCAGAGCATGAGGAGGTGGATGCCAAGGAGAGGGATAGGGTTACCAGATACGTGGAGGAGGGAAGTATAGGATTTGGTCATTGGTAGAATGTTCTGGTGACAGGAGGAGAGACGGGCTGGTGACGCTGCTCACTAGCCCAGCTGTTCTGAAAGCTTGGTTCTGGGAACCCATTAGAAAGGCAACTTCTTGGGCCCCACCCAGACCTATTGATTCAGAAACTCTGGGGAGAGGCCCAGCGTCGGTGCTTTCACAAGTCCTCCAGGTGACGCCCCTCCAGTCTGAGAAGATATAAACAGCACTGGAGGGAATGCTCTTTGAGGCGAGAGGAGGCAGGGATGAGTCCGTGGGACCTGTGGGGCATTTCCAAGGGAAAATGTCTAGGACGCAGTTGGTTTTAAAGGCCTAGGGCTCAAGAAAGATCTGGGATGCAGATAAAGGGACGGGGGACAGTGGCCTTGATGAGGAAGCCTTGAGTGGCTGAGGTGGTCCAGAGAGAGGATGGGAGGAGGAGAGCCCTGCGTCCCTGGGAGGAAGGGTCCAGAGTAGAGATGGTGAGAGAGAAGACAGTCCGAGAACTAGGAAAGGCGGGTGGAGCGGGTGGTTTTCAATGACCTGTGTCCCTATTAGTGGCCTCTGTTTTCAGGGTAAAGGTGGAAGCAAGGCTTTGCCTGGAAAAGAGGAAGCAGTGGCACAAGAAGCAGCTTGGGGAGAATGGCCCGAAGGGGCTCAGAGTGGCTACTGGCTGCTTCCTAAGCTGGAGGAAAGGAAGCCTTGAATCTGGAAGGCTGTCTTCTAAGGCCTGCTTCGAATGCCACCTCTGGGGACTCTATCTGACAAAGGTGGATGGAGTGCCAGGTGTCCAGGTCACTGACAGCCTCACCTGGAGGCAGGCTGAGCAGTCAGGGCAAAGGCAGACAGAGGCCTCCTTCCTCACGCGCCCCCCGGCAGGCACAGGCCTGGGTGTGTACCAGGCACAGACCAGGACCAGGTTCAGCCCCTGGGCAGCTGCAGAAGGGACACATCTCCGGGCCCCTGGACAGACAAGGCTGAGCCCTGAGATGGTGCAGAAAGTGCGAGGGAGAGGCAGGCAGCCAGGCCTCTTGCCAGATGTGGGCCAGTAAATCTGGAGCCAGTTCCAGGAATATCTGCCCGTCAGAATCCAGGGTAGGACCAGGAGAGCTGGCTCACGGGTGGGAACTCGAGGGCAGGGGTGTGTGGGAGGAGCGTGTTGGACTGGAGCCTGACGAACATGCGTCTAAATCCGGGCTGTGTTACTAACTTGCTGGGGAACTTGAACAAGCCACTTAACATTCTCTGGCCCTCCAGTCTCCAGCTGTAAAACAGGAATATTAAAATGATTTGTTCTGATGACTAAATGAGACAGTGCATCCTTAGGATAATATCTAGTACATATCAAGGACTCAGAACACAGTAGTTATTATGATGTTATTAGTAGCCAGCCTATACTGTGTTCATACTGTAGATTTCCATTTGCAACGCTCTTTCTCCTCTGTTAGCCTCATAATGTCTCTGTGGGAGTAGGGCAGGGGTCCCATTTTAAGAACATATTTTTTAAGACTTTACTTTCAGAGCAGTTTTAGCAGATTCACAACAAAATTGAGCAGAAAGTAAAGAGATTTTCAGAATGCCCACTGCCCCCGCTCACACAGAGCCTCCCCCATCATCAGCAGAGTGGGGGAGACTAGAGTGGGACATTTGTTGCCACTGATGACCCTACATGGCAGGGCTGCCCTTTTCGAGGTGCATTCATGAGGCCCACAGAGGGGAGGTGGCTCTGCCCCAGGTCACATGGCTAGAACATGGCAGGACCAGGATGAGAACCTGGATGTCTCAGCCCTTTTGTTAGTGCTTCCCGAGAGCAGAACCATGTCTTGTTCACCACAGTGTCCCTCATGCCAGGCACTCCGCAAATATTTGCTGAATGAATGAGTTGAGTGAGCGTGTAAGTGTGTGCATGAGTGAGTGAGTGGGTGATGAGTGAGAGGAGATTGAGCCAAATGATGCCTTCAGCTCTCTGCCTCTAATGTCAACCCTGTGGCCATGAGAGCTACATGGCCATGTGCCCTGGCCATCCTGGGGGCCACCCACCTGAGACCTGGCCATCTGAGCACTATTGTTTCCCCAGGAGAACAGTCTCAAGTCCGGGAAGGGGGCAGCTGCCATGATCCCAGGCCCACAGACGGTGGCCACGGAAATCCGTTCTCTTTCTCCGGTAAGTGGGCGAGGCCAGCTCAGGCTAGGGGACTCCACGCTGAGTATGTGGACCTGGGTCCGCAGGTGGCCTGCAAGTGCAGTGTGGAGCCCAGAAGGCTTCCCTTTCGAATGCAGCACCAGGAAACGATATCATTTTCAGAGGCCCACAGGTTCCCTGGTGCCCACTAGAGTCTCGTCCATTGCCCTCCATTCCTCCCCCCACCCCAAGCAGGGCATTGGCAATGTGGGGGTGAAGTGGCGCCTCCCTTTGGCGGTGCCTGTGATGTGGTAGCTCTTTTGCATCTGCTCTCCTTACTGACCAGGAGGAGCAATGGACTCAGAACACAGTAGTTATTATGGATTAGGAGTCCAGAGGCTTGACTTCTGGACCTGGCTCTGTCTGTGGCTGCCCTGTGAGCCGTGTCTGTCCCTGTGAGGTCTCCTGCAACTCCTGTATTCTCCAAATCTATCATTCGCATCATCTAGCCCACGAGAGAACACGCTCCCAGCTCTGGAAGGGTGGGGGATTGAGAGGGGACTCTGTTTCCACCTTGGATCCCTCTGGTCATTCTTCTAACATGCCAGGATTCTTAAATTCTAGGGTCTTGTTGGAATTCTGGGCCTTAGGAATCTCAGGTTCTAGGAATCTTAGATTCCAGGCTTTGAGAATTTTTGTGGGTTTAGCACTCCGAAGAGTCCAGTATTCCTGAATTCTTAGATTCAGTGGTTCATAGCATCTTGGCTTCCCAGCCCACCTTCATGGGACCCCTCCCCAACTTGTCCCTTGGTTTACCCACCCTGCAACAGCCAGCATCCTCACCTGATCCCGGGCGGGGGGTGGTTATATTCTGCAGATCATCGGGAAAGATGTCCTCACCAGCACCTACGGCGCCACCGCGGAAACCCTCTCCACCTCCACCACCACCCATGTTACTAAAGTGAGTAGCAGCAGGTGCCACAGGGCCCAGCCTGGCTGTGGGGCTTGGGAAGGCCACTGCCACTGTCACGTGGACAGAGAAGACCCGTGGCGTTCCCAGTTCCAGGAGAGCCGTGCGCTTGGTCTGTGTTATGGTCTGTCCTGGGCATGGACCTGCTCTTCAACACTGACAGTCAGGCTTGGGGGACGAGACCATCTCCTTGGAAGTCACTGTGGACCATAGCATTTGCATCTTACAGACCTTAAGTGCCGGAGGGATTTAGAGGGGTGATATGAGGAAGGCTCAAAGAGTGAGAAGGATCTTCTGGGGAAAGTTGGGTTTGCGCAAGGTCTTGGAAATCCAGGGAGGACTTGTGAGGGGAGGAGAGGACAGCGGCAGGCGTTCTACGCAGTGCAGAAGATGGGAGCAGGCACTGCATTTGTTTATTTGTTCACTGAGCAGATTTTACTCTGAGGGGCTAGTGGAGGGGCTGTAAGCAATGCATGTTGTGGGAAACAGGAGTAGTGTTCTCTGGTAGCCAGAAGCAGCATTACTGTGGGAAATTGGGTTGGACTGGGGCCAGAGGAAGCAGAATAGAGACAAATAACACAAATTCCAGGACAAATGTGGCGATGGAGGGCCCTGGTTTGAGAACTATTGGAAAACCATCAATGTTTCTTAACTGGGGAGTGAGCCAGTGAGAAGGGGTTTAAGGAGAGGAGATTAGATCCACCAGGATGTGCAGGGTGATGGGAGAAAGAAGGGAGTGAGTGATGGAGAGACTAGGAATGGAGGGCCTGGACCAGGGTGGGAGTCAGAGTGGGAGAAGGAAGAGGAATGGCCAAGAAGGGAGGCATTCCTGATGCATCAGCCGTGACTCAGCCAATGAAGACACAGGGCTGAAGGCTGGCTGGCACGTTCATGACTGAGTAGCCAGAAGGAAGCAGGAGGGGTCCCAGGCCAGGGATGGAGGCCTGAAGGAGAGATGCCAGGGAGCCAGGTTGAGTTGAAGGTTCTGCTGAGCTATCTGAAGAAGTCTGATAGGTGGCACTGGCCCTCTATACACTGCCCCAGCCCTGCCTCCTCCTCTGTAGGACTCAGCACCTCTGCACAGTCCCCATAAAGCACCCACTCTCACCAAAAGCGTTAGTAAGCAATATTTATTTCACTGAAAGCTTTATGGGAAGGTTTTCTATCACACACCCCACCGAATACAGCTCAGAAAACTCTTTTTCTCAGAGTCCCTCCTAGCCCTGCCAACCAGGAGTCCCCTCCCCTCCCCGCTTCTTTCTTTCCACTTCTGACTCCAGCCAGAACTTCTCTCAGCCACCACCCTCCTTGAATATGCCAAGCAATTCTACTTCTAAACTTACACCCAAACTTGCCCCTTCAGAAAACAGTGGTGGTTACCAGTATTGTCAACGAAATTTCTCTTGTACTGTGGTTTGAAGTCATTTAAGGTAGAACCTTGTCACCATTCACATTTCATTCATGTGTTCATTCAACAAACTTGCATTTAGCACCTGTCCTGGTCAGGCTGAACAGAGGGGTGGGGAGGAGGGGATACAGAGATGAACAGAAGACACTCCTGTCCCCAGGAGTTCCAGCCTGGTGAGCAAGGCCAGGTCCTGCACAAAAGGTCGGCAAAGGGCAGAGGCCCAGGACCATGAGAGAGATGAATCTGGTGTTCGGGGAGTACTGAGGCAGGAAGGTGGAAGGATTGCCAACCAGGGTCAGGGAGAGCATTTGATCTGGGCTTGGGAGAGCTAGAGGGGACAGTGTGGTGCTTGGACAGTGGTGGCCACCAGGCTAGATCTGCAGTCTGAAGTCCCACAACCAGAAGAGGAAAAATCTGAGGGAGCCAGGAGAGGTGACTGCTGGTTCCAGCCATGCCCTTGAGGGATACTTTGGACAGGTCTCCTGTCACAGCTGCTGGTCCAGCAGGACCCAAGGCTGACCTTGCCTCTCTCTCCCCCTGCAGACTGTGAAAGGAGGGTTTTCTGAGACGAGGATCGAGAAGCGAATCATTATTACTGGGGACGAAGATGTTGATCAAGACCAGGTATGGGAATGAGGAATGCTACTCCCAGTGGCACTGCCCAGTCCCCAATCCCTGCCATATTGGGTTACTCATGGATGGTTGCCCTTGTGGGCTAAGAAGATGTACACTTTCTGCCCATCCTATCTAGACAAGGGGCCCCCAAGGGAAGGACATTGAACGGGATTCAGGAGGAGCCAGAAGACTCAGGCTCTAGTCTCTTCCTTTAATTCTTTGACCACTGCCCCTCCCTGAGCCTCCTGTTCTGCAAGCTGCGTACTAGGCGGCTTGTTGGTCTCTATAGTCTCTCGTATTTGATATTCTGTGGTTCCTCACTTTGCTGTTCTTTCCTACCAGGCCCTGGCTTTGGCCATCAAGGAGGCCAAACTTCAGCATCCTGACATGCTGGTAACCAAAGCTGTCGTATATAGAGAAACAGACCCATCCCCGGAGGAGAGGGACAAGAAGCCACAGGTAAGGCTCAGGAGGTTCAGTAGCGGTGAGAGGGAGGAGGGAACTGTGGCAGGGTCCTCTGAGCGTGGTTTCCATCAGAGAACCCACCCTGTGGCTTGGTCCCTGTCACAGCTTTGACCCCCACCCACCAGACATCATGAATAACAGTGGGGCAGAAGCCTGGTTCCTGGGTTCTTTGGGGTTTAAGGCCCTAGACCAGCCGTGGGCAAACTACGGCCCGCGGGCCAGATCCGGCCCGTTTGAAATGAATAAAACTAAAAAAAAAAAAAAAAAAAAGACCGTACCCTTTTATGTAATGATGTTTACTTTGAATTTATATTAGTTCACACAAACACTCCATCCATGCTTTTGTTCCGGCCCTCCGGTCCAGTTTAAGAACCCATTGTGGCCCTCCAGTCAAAAAGTTTGCCCATCCCTGCCCTAGACCCAGAAAAGTAAATCAGAAGTGGTAGGAAAGGGGAGACAGGATTGTCAGTGGGTACTGAGGTGGGACATCTGCAGTGGTTAGCACAGTGCCTGGCACATAGGAAGTGCTGGATAGAAGTTAATTGTGACTATTATTACTATTAACTCAAAGTAGGCTAACAAAATGCTGCTCATTCGGACTCTGCGGCAATAATCCAAGAAGAATAAATGTAAATGGCACACTTTAGGTGTCCCCGCTACTTCTAAAGACATCCCATGGAGCCAGAATCCTGTTTACATTTTATTAGTCGGTGAGCAAACTTAAAATACAAAACCCCCAGGACACAGCAGAATTGAGCAGAAGGAACACAGCCAGGCTTTGGCGCAGAAACACCTTGCCAGCAGTGTGCCCAGGTGAACCTCCCTGGGCCTCGCTTTCCTCATCTACAAATGGGAGCGCATCTCTAAAGTGGAGCTGCTCTAATAATTAACCAACACCTGTGGCTCTTCGTTCGCGCGGCTACAACAGAATACCACAGACTGGGGGCTTAAACGACGCACGTTTATTTATCACGGTGGTAGGAGCTGGGCGGTCCAAGGCCAGCATGTTGGCCAGCTCAGTTCCTGGTGAGAGCCCACTTTCTGGTTTTCAGACAACTGTCTTCTCAAAACTATGTAGCAGGCGGCATGTCATTCTTGCCTTTTTTCACTCACAGATGGTCAAGTGCTGCTAATAAAGTTGTGTAAATGCGATCCTCCTCTGTTTCTGTCCCAAGATGGAAAACCTGAGGCCCAGGTTCCATGACTTAACAAGTTGATTAGAACCCAGAGCTCCTGCTTTGGAACAGGCCACTTTGGAACAGGCCGCATGGCTGAGAGCAAAGATAATCTCTCTCTCGTCTCTTCTTACAAGGGCACCAATTTCCTTCATGAGGACTTCACCCTTATGACCTCCGGTCCCGCCTCCAAATGCCCCCTCCTTGAGGATTAGGGTTTCCATAAGTGAATCTGGGGGCAGCGTACCAGGGCGGTGTCTCACAGGCAGAAGGTGCGTGGCAGTGTGGACCTGCTTCCTTTTCCTTGAGGTTTTGCCATGTTTAGGGATGAGAGTCCTGAGCAAGTCAGACCGTAACCCTCCACCACCAGCCAGGTGCACAGGGCCCTGTTTCCACCTGGGTTTCCATCTTGCTGGCCTTTATCTTCTCTCCCCAAATCCTCCAGAGACATCTCTCTGCTCCATTCTACTCGGCCTCCTTCTGGAAGTTCTTCCTTCTTAAAGCTCTTGCTGTGAGTGTGGAAAGCACACTTATCTCACATAGTCTTCTCTTTTCTCTGCAACCTCGCAGGCCAGATGTGTGGCTTCTGCTCCATGACCTCCCACTGGCCTGCCTCCATCCACACGGCCTGTCTCTCAAACCCCGCAGCCAGAGGGTGGCACTTACCCAGCGCCCTAGAGCTTTCTTACCTACAAAATTTTAAGTAAATGGGGAAAAAATAACTGGCCTGTTCCAAAGCAGGAGCTCTGGATTCTAATCAACTTGCTAAGTCATTGGACCTGGGCCTCAGATTTTCCATCTTGAGAAAGAAACTGAGAAGGATCGCATTTATATGACTTTATTAGCCCTTGACCATCTGTGAGTTAAAAAAGGCAAGAATGACATGCCACCTGTTACATAGTTTTGGGTAGTTGCTATGTTCAGGGCATTTTTCTGGGCATTGGAAAGGCAGCAATAAGTAAAAGACAGTCCTTGTCCTAAAGGAGATCAGAATAGCATGTGGTTACATTAACAACAGCAACACTAATAACAAGAACAGCCTGTATTTATTTAGCGCTTACTCTATGCTGATCCTTGTTTTGAATCCTACTTATAACTAAGGCAGTTATAGGCAGAACCCATTTTACAGAGGAAGCAACTGAGGCCTAAAGAGGTTAAGAAACTTGTGCAGAGCTAGTGGGCTGTAGAGTGGGATTTGAACCGGGATTCGGGATTGCAGAGCCCATGGCCTTAACCACTACATTTTGGAGTCACATCTGAGTTGGGATCCCAGGCTCCAGTTTCTTTATTTAAACACTGCACTCTGGGGTTTAATCCCCAGGGCACAGCAGGCCCAAGGAGAACAGAAAGAAAAAAAATTAAAAGAAGAACATGTCATCACGACTAAACCTTTCTTAGAATGGAGAGATGATAGGAGGAAAAGTGAACCAAGTGTGATATTAGCCTCTCAGTGTTAAAGGAAACTTGGACAGATTTTCAGGCCAAAGGGAAAGATACCACTTCCCTGGAAACAAACAAGCAAACGTACATGGGCCTTGGAGTCTGACAGATGTGGGTTCAGTTCTCAGCTGCTACTTGCAAGCTACCTGGCCTTAGACAAGTCTCTGTCTTCCTGAGCCATAATAAAGGGCCCACGGTAAAGGCTCCCTAAAAAACGACCTTGCCATGTATTTGCAGGTGGGTGACAAAAAGTTACTAACTTTTCTTATCCTCCTCCTTCCTCTGTGTCCCTCCCCGCCCCACCCTCACAACAACTCTGGCTTCAGGAATCCTGACCTCTATGAAGAGATGCTGGCGTTTCTGGTCCAACTCAAGCCAGAGAACCATTAAGAAGGGGCCTTCATTCTGGATTCTCCGAGTCAACACCGACGTCCCAGCTGCGACGTACTGTCACTGATGAGAGACTGGGAGAGGAAAAGCAAATATATATATATATATAGATATATATAGATATAGATATATATACAGGAAACACTGCATCCTTGCACTGCTTCTGGGGCTGGCCGGGCAGTCGGCCAACAGCAACAACCAACATCTGAACACCTACATTTCCTTTGCAGACAAATTGAAGAATTGGTGGGATTTTTTCAGGAAAAAAAATTATAATGCCAATAATCCCTTGCTATCCCCTTCGAAGGCCTGCGGAGCAACATGAGCAAGCAGCCCAGGATGACTGCTGGGACGCAGCACCGACTGCGCAGCACATCCGGTGCACGGACCTTCCGTTTGTTCTCCAGTGTCTGTTGCCCATGCAAGTGCAAAGGAAAACCCTTTTGCAGCAAAGCGAGACACGCTGAAGCAGCAAGACACACAACGAGAAAGAAAAGACATTTCCCACTTGGAAAGGAGGAGGAGGAACACTGGATTATTATTTTATGGGTCTTGACACTGGGCTGCAAAATCCACCTTCCTTTCTTCCGCCTCCCCTCCCCCTCACAAGTCTTGTCATTTTCTGTCTCGACTCCCTCCTCCCAACCCTGCACCCCTTGCCCTCTGTCCGGGTCCTGCTGAGGGCCACTGCAGATGACTCATTTGAAACAAGAAAAAGAAAAGAAAGCAGGGACGGAAAACCATCCCGCAGGAAGGGAAGTAGACATTGTATGTTTATGGTTCTCATTACGAAGGTGCAGCTTGTAGGAGATTTGTATGGATGTGCTTTTAAGTTATGTATATGACATATAACGGGAAACAAATATTAAAATAAACAGTGCTGGTAAGTATGAAGCTGACAGTTTAAAATTATGATTATCTGACTGTGATTGATGTATCCCAAGGTTCCTAGATCTCACTGAACCGGCCCAGCCAAGGAGGCCTGGACTCTGGCTGTGGGCTGCTCACAGTAGGAGCTGCTGGGTTCAGTGTAGTAATTCAGTGTGTGATATTTGTCATTGGTTGATTGGTGGGGAGGGGAGGGGTCCCCGAATGGAGAAGCGGGGGTTTGGCAAGAAGGAAGCAACACAGCTATGGTCCAAGATGCCTTCTCCCCTGGGCAGTAACAACCAGGGCCTGGTCCGTGCTCAGATGTGGGGCCCAGAGTTAGGATTTTGCTGCGGATCCCCTGGCCCAGTCCCCCTACCTCCCTAAGGGGGCTTGTCTCTGTTCTCAGTCCTCTGGGTTTTTTTTGCCACATGTCTTGCCTTTCCCTGACCAAATCCTGGTAGCTAACTCCCCATCCCAAGTGGGGTGATGCCATTGGCCACTGCAGAGGATGGTAGCTTTATCCGGCTTCCTGAAAACTCCCAGCTCTGTCTCTTCCTCTACCATTCCTGTTCTCTGTCTGAGTCATTCTCTTCTTCGTGGGCTGAAGCAGCCATGGGAGCGACCCCAAACACAGGGTAGGCCTAGGTGAAAGCTGAGGATGAAAGGTGGTGCTGCTCACAGTCTCCATCCACGTGTTAGACCCTGGCTTTGGAGACCTCCCCTTCGGTCAGCATCTGAGCTCTGAGCCTGTGCCCTCAGAGTCCCAGAAATTGCATCAAGACCACAGAAGCCCTTGGAGAAAACCCATCAAAAGCCTGGCATTGACACACAGGGGCTTTCCCAGGCTCTCCTGGCACAAGCTGGCCCCCTGAGCTCAATGAGTCCCCTCCTGAGGGAGTGTGTCCCACTGCACTTTAACGTATCAGTCCCATCTCACCTCCCCAGTCCTGTTTCTGAAGCAGTTGCTAAACTCACTCAGCAAATATATATTGAGTACCTGCTTGTGCCAGGCACTGTTCTTGGATTGAGAGAATGTGGGGCACATGGAGGCACCTGGGAAGCCCCCTGAGCCAGCCTTACATTTCTAACCAGGGCTGTCTCTCTGAGAGCATTTCTGCATTCTCTCCAATTATTGGACGTTGCCCACGGATGCCCTCCAGAGAGCCCAGGCTTATCAATTACCCCAAGGATAAATACGCTTAGCTGCTTTGGTGCTGACCTGGGACAGAACAAGAAACCAGAATAGTGTGCCTCTGTGGACACAAATGGGATGGAGGGAGGGCAGAGAGCCCTGAGCCTGGGCATCCCATGGCAGAATCAGCCACACACACTCCAGAGCAGGCCGGGGGACTGCTCCAGCTCCCCCTGAGTGCGACAGCACACTTGCCATGCACCAAGCTTCTTTTTACATTCCTGATACAGAAGCCCCTTTCAACCTGAGAGCTCCCACTCGTTCTGGGCCAAAAGCTGGTGTAGCCCCACCCTCTCTGGCTCACCCAGAATTTGACTCAGGCACCCCGTCTTTGCCGGAACCAGGGATCCTGAACACACTTCAGAGGGAGAATTATTTTTTTCTGGGTTCTCCACCTGCCTACAGACCCTGGGTGTGTGGCTTCAGGGCAGGGATGAAGTGACCAGGCTTAGCTCATGGGCCAGTGGCGTTTGTGGAGATCTCTACCCCACCAATGCGCTGACCTTCCTTCCACGACAGTCAGTCAGTGCCCCCAGGGAGGAGGGGAGCTGCAAGCTAAATCTAGGGCACTGTTTCCTCCCCATGCGCCTCTTCACAAAGGACATCGACGTTTGTCTTATCTGTCGTCAACCTACTTTTCCTTTTTACTTTTTTCTATTTCTCATTCTTTCTGTGCTGCCTCTCCACCCCAGAGACCATGTAGCATAGTGGAGAAGGCCCAGAGGGCGGGCAGGAGTGCTCGTGGCCATCCTGGCCCGGTGCCTGGCTCGCCATGGGCCATCGAGCTCGTCTGGGCTCTCCTGGGGCCTCGGTTCCCGTCGCACTTGTAAAAGGACGCGGATAAGCCAGATGCCCTCCAGGGTCTTTTTCTGCTCTGCCATCCCACAGACTTTCATTTTACTTTGCTTTCTCTGGATCTTTTCCATCTGAGAGGACAGGAAGTTCCAGGACCTGTTTTGGGTTTTGAATCCTGCAAGCACATTCCAAGACTGGCCTGAAATTGCATGAGCAACATCACTCTAATTTATTTTCCCCCCAAAAGCACCTTACCAAACAACTGCAATGCTGTCCTGTTCCTTTTTACTCACACCCCTCTCTCTTCTCTGGTCCCCACGCTCCCCCACCTCAGTGCTCCGTGCTGTATGCGTGTGCTCTCTGTTCTTGTATACTCAATAAAAGTGAAATAAATGTGTTTGATGCTCAACCACAAACTGCCTTGGTGATTCTCTCTCTGTCTCTCTCTCTCTTCACTTTCTCTCCTCCCCTCCCCCTTGACCACCAGTACAAGTTGGCATTGTGAGAAGGGCTACAGTTGGAGGTGAGCGATCCCAACACTTTCATTTTACTAATATTTGCAGCTCTGAATGTGGCACAGGTCTTGCATTAGGCTTTGCAATAAGGCAAAGTCCCTGCCCTCCAGGAAGTCACAGGCTAGTGGAAAGAACAGGCAAGCAGTCAGAGACAGTTCCTGAGTGATCAGCACCAGGAAGGAAATGCAGAGTGGGTCACTAAAGGAGACCACCTTAAATAAGGCAGTCAAGCATGGCCCCCTGGGGAAGTTATTTTTGAGCTGAATGAAGAGAAATATCCTGTGAGGTGAAGACCTTGGGTGAGAGCATTCTAGGCAGAAGGAACGGTGAGGATGTGGGCCCCAGGACACAGAGGGGCTTGTGTGTGGAGAGACAGCACGGCCCCACTCCTCTTCCTGAAAAGGAGCACCTACCTCTGGGTCTCCCTGCAAACCCCTCCATGGAAGCCGAGTGGATAGTGTAGACAGCAACCCCCAACCTCAGCCTCTGCCCACCACCGGCACGTCAGTTGCCATATCCCCATACATAATGCCTGTCTCAAAATTAACTCTGTAAAAAAAAAAAATTATTTAAAAAGGAAACTATATTTCACAAATGGAAAGGATGTCTTCATAAAAATAAATGCAAAAATATTAAAATTAACAACCCAAAATCCATGTCAAAGTTAAACTCACCCCTTAGACTACCTGACGCACAGGTACCAGCACTTTCATTTGTATTCTACTAAGTGAGTCACCTCAGGACACTTCCTTTTTAAAAAATTAAATTTATTGGCATGACATCCTATATAATAAAGCGGTAATATGCAAACTGACCATCACTCCAACACACAAGATGGCCACCCCCAGGTGGACACAAGATGGCCTGCAGGGGAGGACAGTTAGGGGCAACCAGGCCTGCAGGGGAGGGCAGTTAGAGGCGACCAGGCTGGCAAGGGAGGGTAGTAAGGGGTGACCAGGCCAGCAGGAGAGGGAAGTTGGGGGCGACCAGGCCAGCAGGGGAGGGCAGTTAGGGGCAATCGGGCCAGTAGGGGAGCAGTTAGGCGTCAATCAGGCTGGCAGGGGAGTGGTTAGGGGGTGATCAGGCTGGAAGGCAGAAGTGGTTAGGGGCAATCAGGCAGGCAGGCAGGCGAGTGGTTGGGAGCCAGCAGTCCTGGATTGTGAGATGGATGTCCGACTGCCTGTTTAGGCCCGATCCCACTCGGGCCTAAATGGGCAGTTGGATATCCCTCGAGGGATCCCAGATTAGAGAGGGTGCAGGCTGGGCTGAGGGACACACATCCCCCCCCCCTCCCCCCAGTGCACGAATTTCATGCACCAGGCTTCTAGTTGGTTAATAAGATCATATAGGTTTCAAAGTGTATATTCCTATGATACATGATTTGTATATTGCATTATGTGCCAGACCATCTTTCTTTTTTAATTTTTTAAAAAATTATTGTTGAAAGTATTACAGATGTTGCTTTGTTCCCCCACCACCACCACCATGGACCCCCTCCTCCCTGCACACTCCCCTCCCAAGCCTTTTCCACACTCTTGTCTGTGTCCATGGCTATGCATATATGCATTTAATTCCCCAGTTAATCTCTCTCCCCTACCCCCACCCCCACCTTCTCTCTAAAATTTATCAGTCTGTTCATGGTTCTATGTCTGTGGATCTATTTTGTTCATCAGTTTATTTTGTCCATTAGATTCCACATATGAGTGAGATCATGTGATACTTATCTTTCTCTGACTGGCCTATTTCGTTTAGCATAATACTCTCTAGGTCCATCCATGCTGTTGCAAATTGTAAGAGTTCTTTCTTTTTTTATAGCCATGTAGTATTCCATTGTGTAGATGTACCACAGTTTTTTAATCCACTCATCTGCTGATGGGCACTTGGCCTGTTTCCAAATCTTAGCTATTATAAATTGCACTGTATGAACCTAGGTTGCATATATTCTTTCTGATTGGTGTTTCAGGTTTCTTAGGATATATTCCTAGAAGTGGAATCACTGGATCAAATTGGAGTTCCATTTTTAATTTTTTGAGGAATTTCCATTCTGTTTTCCACAGTGGTTGCACGAGTCTGCCAAAATCTCACAATGAGAACCACTGCTAATAATCTGGTGCATTTTCTAACAAATTTTCCATGTACATGTATTTTTCCAGAGTTGAAGTTACCTTGCACATAACTATTCTAAATACTTTTTAAAACTTAAACCCTACGGCCCCGGTGAGGTTGTAATGGCGCCCGTAAGGTCAGGACGGCCCCGGTGAGGTTGAAACAGCCCCGGTGAGGTCGGGACGGCCCCGGTGAGGCTGGGACAGCCCCGGTGAGGCCCAAACGGCCCTGGTGAAGTTGGAATGGCCCCAGGGAGGTTGAGACATCCCCGGTGAGGTCGAGACGGCCCCGGTGAGGCTGGGACAGCCCCGGTGAGGCTGAGACGGCCCCGGTGAGGTTGGGACAGATAATGGGGACCAGTATAGACTGATGAACAGGGGTAGATGCAGAGGCAGAGCAGCATTGAACAGACTGTCAAACTATAGTGGGAAGCCTGGGGAGGGTTTGGGGGCACGGTTAAGAGATCAACCGAAGGACTTATATGCATGCATATAAGAATAACCAATGTCAAGAGAGATAGGAACCAAGATGGCGGCATAGGTTAACGCCAGAGTTTGCTGCCTTGAACAACTACTTCAAAAGTGAAACTAAAAAACGGAACGGACATCACCCAGAACCACAGGAACGCTGGCTGAGTGGAAGTCCTACAACTAGGAGGAAAGAGAAACGCATACGGACACTCAGAGGAGGCGCAGTGCTGAAGTCAAATTCTGAGGTGCGGAGTGCGCGGAGCGGGCTGGCGGAGGAGGGTGCGGTTGGCATTTTCAATCGGGAGGGAGTCACAGACTCTGAGCTCCAGATACAGGTGAGTCTTAAGGGACCCAGACTCAAACGGGAGAAGCGGAACTGTCTGGCTTCGGTCAGAGCGAGTGCAGCTTTCTCTCTGAGCTTTGCAGCGGGTGCTGGGACTCAGAGAGGCAGAGCCCCTGGGGACAGGACTGAGAGCCGCCATAACTGTTCTCTCCGGCCCACCCTGTTGATCCTGTGCGACCCGCCCCGCCCAAACCCTGCACACAGGCATTTGCCGGATAGCCTCAGGCAAAGGCTAGATTAGCACCTCCCTAGAGGACAGAAGTTCTCTCACTGCAGACACAGCTGATTCTCATAGCCACTTGGCCTGGAGGTCAAACCCTCCCTGGTATTAGCTACAACAATCAAGGTTTAACTATAAGACTGCGCACAAAGACCACTAGGGGGTGCAACAAGGAAGCATAACAAAGAAACAGGACAAAATTGTCAATGGAAGATATAGAGTTCAGAACCACACTTTTAAGGTCTCTCAAGAACTGTTTAGAAGCCGCCGATAAACTTAATGAGATCTACAAGAAAACTAATGAGACCCTCGATGTTATATTGGGGAACCAACTAGCAATTAAGCATACACGGACTGAAATAACGAATATTATACAGACTCCCGACAGCAGACCAGAGGAGCGCAAGAATCAAGTCAATGATTTGAAATGCGAGGAAGCAAAAAACACCCAACCGGAAAAGCAAAATGAAAAAAGAATCCAAAAATGCGAGGATAGTGTAAGGAGCCTCTGGGACAGCTTCAAGCGTACCAACATCAGAATTATAGGGGTGCCAGAAGATGAGAGAGAGCAAGATACTGAAAACCTATTTGAAGAAATAATGACAGAAAACTTCCCCCACCTGGTGAAAGAAATGGACTTACAGGTCCAAGAAGCGCGGAGAACCCCAAACAAAAGGAATCCAAAGAGGACCACACCAAGACACATCATCATTAAAATGCCAAGAGCAAAAGATAAAGAGAGAATCTTAAAAACAGCAAGAGAAAGAAACTCAGTTACCTACAAGGGAATATCCATACGACTGTCAGCTGATTTCTCAACAGAAACTTTGCAGGCCAGAAGGGAGTGGCAAGAAATATTCAAAGTGATGAATACCAAGAACCTACAACCAAGATTACTTTATCCAGCAAAGCTATCATTCAGAATTGAAGGCCAGATAAAGAGCTTCACAGATAAGGAAAAGCTAAAGGAGTTCATCACCACCAAACCAAGATTATATGAAATGCTGAAAGGTATCCTTTAAGAAGAGGAAGAGGAAGAAAAAGGTAAAGATACAAATTATGAACAACAAATATGCATCTACCAACAAGTGAATCTAAGAATCAAGTGAATAAATAATCTGATGAACAGAATGAACTGGTGATTATAATAGAATCAGGGACATAGAAAGGGAATGGACTGACTATTCTTGGAGGGGAAGGGGTGTGGGAGATGCGGGAAGAGACTGGACAAAAATCGTGCACCTATGGATGAGGACAGTGGGTGGGGAGTGAGGGCGGAGGGTGGGGCGGGAACTGGGAGGAGGGGAGTTATGGGGGGGGGGGAGAGGAACAAATGTAATAATCTGAACAATAAAGATTTAATTAAAAAAAAAAAAAGAATAACCAATGGACACAAGACACTAGGGGGTAGGGGCCAGGGGAATGTCAAGGGGGGGGAATAAAGGAGACATATGTAATATTCTTTGTAATACTTCAAGAAATAAAAATTATTAAAAAAAAAACTTAAACCCTAAACATTTTCCTATAATTTCAAATACTAATATTAGTTCTTCTGTTTTTAAAGATAAGTCATTAAATGATACAAAATGCTATTCAGTGAAAAGCAATTCTTCAACCCTCTGCAGACTCCAGAGGCAATTGCTTTCAGGAGTTTTGTGACTCCTTTCCTGAATTTTCCCAGTAGATTTCCTTTAGCTATCTGTCACTCTGGGGGTTCTGCAGTAGGACTGGTTTGCACACACCCCAGATCTGTGTCTCTTTC